ATACACATCAACCTCACCAAGACAGACATGCCATTCAGAATACATGGAAGAATATGTTCAAAAACATAAAACAGCAAAAAGGGGTGCGGGAATCCAAACTGCTAGCGATGTTTCGGAGGTTCGCGGCAGGGATGCCCTTAAGACCCTAAACCCTAAACCCTAAACCCTAAACCCTAAACCCTAAACCCCGGAGTGTCGCCACCTCCGGTGATCTCGGTCAGGGCCATGTGGGACACCGTCAAGAGGCTAAAGTGTCGTAGCTTGCTTGCGTAGAACTGGTGCTCGATTTGCTTGTCAGGACTCGTCTTTTTTCAAACAGAGAAAGCACGAAACCTAATGATAATACTAATAGTTATAATGATAATAATAGTAATACTTGGGAATGGCTGCAAACAACATGCTCGAGCTGGCTAGGTTGTCCCCTTTGCTGCGTAAGCTGCCGTGGGCTGCAATCAGTCTCTGGCTGCACTCTAGCCTGACGCAAAGAAATCACATCGGCCCAGGGATGTGACATGCTCCATGGGCTCTCTGTAAAGGTAGCGGAAGCTTGAGCAAAAAAGACGACATGCCAGGGAAACCCCGTTCTCGGATGCATCCGGGAATCCTTAAATCCTAAACGGGTCTGGTTCAAACCAATCACCATCGGAACCCAAAACCCTGCACGGGGCCTGGCGTGGAGGGAGCACAGAATTCAAGACTTAGGCTTTGTGAGCTGCGGTTTATCGTCTAGGTTCAGGGTTGATGAGGCTTCGAGAAGGAGATTTTCACTTGCAGAGCCTCTGCGATGGATCTTCGACAGCTGTCGGCACACGTTTGTAAGTGCTTATGCGTGCACAACCTTGAATCCTAAACCCTAAACCTTAAACCCTGAACCTTAACCCGAAACCAATAGGGTCAATAGGGCATCTGGCGGATAGGCATGCAGCAAATAGGGGCTGCAGACGGCTGTCAGCCTTTGACATCTCCGGGAACCCTGAACCGCAAAATCCTGAACCCTAGTTTCGGGTTTGCCCAAAGGCTCCAATGTAGTATCTTGTTGGGCCAGCTATATGGGATTCTAGTATACTACTCCAAAAAGGTGCCACATAGGAGCCTTTAGGTAGGGCCAGGGGTTTAGGGTTTAAGGTTCTACGATGCAGCGGGTACTCAATCAGTCTTTCTAAGGTTTAGGCTTCAGGCTGTACATGGCCACACTGCCTTGCAGTCTCCCAAGGACATGCCTTGTTTCCAAGATCCCAAGTGGACCAGAACTTAGAACCATCAGAATATACAACAGTATCCGTAAACCCTAAACCCTAAACCCTAATGTTGGACCCTGTTTAGTAGGGGCCTCCTCTTTAAAGTCAATTTGGCAAAATTATTCAGGACCCCCTGACTGTTTGCGGGGTCCTCTTTTAAGTCAAATCGTCCGGGCGCCGGAAGAAAATTCCCTGGGCGTGCCTTTAAAAAAGATAACCGGGCATCGCTGCCCCCTTTAAACCTATCTAAACTCCTCCGCATTAAAATCATATAAGCCCCCGGGGCCGTGTAATCAGGATCCCATCCACGCCTCGACTGTTCGGGAGGGGGGGCGGGGGGGGGCCTACATATTAAAGAGGGTCCCACATTAAGTCCATCGGTCTACACTGCTTACCTCACGAGCCTAATCCCCCAAAACCACCCTTCAACCAAATCCTAGTCCCCAATACCCCCCCTCCCCACCCGGCCACCGGTTTAGGGTTTAGGGATTAGGGTTTAAAGTCCTCATCTTTCTAGGATGGCCCTTTCCACCCTCTGAAAGATGTTCCTACATGTAATCCTCTTAAACCCAATGTTTACAATCCCAATAAGGCAAAACATAGAAGGTATCCCAAGGGCCTACCCCTAAACCATAAACCCTAAACCCTAAACCCTAAAACCCTAAAACCCTAAAACCCTAAAACCCTAAAACCCTAAAACCCTAAAACCCTAAAGCCTAAAGCCTAAACCCTAGCTTTTTGCTCCCATGCCAGGAGTTCGAGTTCGTCCGAGGAACGGAAAGACGAGGTGCGGCGGGGGCTCGAGAGACTCGCTTAGCGTTTAGGGTTTAGGGTTTAGGGTTTAGGGCCTAGGGTTTAGATGTGTTGGGGATTCGGATTCGTCCGTGGGGTTATATGCGCCAGCATAGGCGCACCCCCCCCCCCATGGTATCCCCCCCCCCCCCTCTGTGGTTCATGGTGGGTTTTGGGTTCCCCCCCCCCCGCCCCCGCCCCCGCCCCCCCCCTCTGGTTCGGTCTGTGGTTCACGGGTTCAGGGTTTAGGGGTTTAGGGTTAGGCTGTAGGGTTCAGGATTTTCACTCTGGTCCATTGGTTCACTGTGGGTTTAGAGTTTGATTAGGGTTCAAGGTTTGGAGTAATTGCAGGTTTCAGGTTTCCACTCGCCCCCCTGTGGTTCGTGCTGGGTTTACGGTTCAGGGTTCAGGGTTAAAGCAGCAAAGGTTTCGGGTTTACCCTTCTCCCTCCTGTTGTTCATTGGTGGGTTTGAGTTTTAGGGCTTCGGGTTCAGGGTTTGGGGTTTAGGCTGAGGCTTCTCTTCCCCCCCCTCGTGGTCCGTGGTGTTTTTAGGGTTAACAGGCAGGGTTTGGGGGAGGTTGCCATGGGGGGGGGATACCATTGGGGGGGGGGGGGGGGTCGATTACGCGGAACGCGGGCGCATATAAAGGCTTGAGCTCTTAGGACTAGATTGAACCCCCAAGTTGCTTGTTTTGCCTCTGGTTCTTATACAATGCAGGTGCCCGAGCAGATGCTTTATGGGACTGAGGGCCATGGTCTATGGGTGTCGGCACTTTGGGGGTTTAGGGTTTAGGGTTTGGGGTTTAGGGTTTGGGGTTTAGGGTTGAGGGTTTAGGGTTTGGGGTTAGGTGCTTCAAGGTTGGGGGTAACTCGGGCTCCCATCGTGAGTCTTAAGCCGCTGGAGCAAGTCCCCCGCCCCCCCTTGCGCAGCGGAGCCATCTTGCGCAGCCCCGTTCAATTCAGACACACTTCAAACCATGAACCCTGCGGGGTATTGTTTAGTGTTTAGGGTTTAGGGTTGAGGGTTTGGGGTTTAGGGTTCAGGGCTCAGACTTCTCAAGGGTTATAGAGTTATGGGGGTGAGACAAGCCCTAGGAGCCCTAAAACCATTCCCCTGAAATCTAAGCACGTGAAACCTGTAAGGCCTAAGAGCTCTAAAGTAGGGGGGAAGAAGGGGGGGTAGAAGGGGGGGAAGAAGAAGGGGCGGAAGAAGGGGGGGAGAAGAATGGGGAAGAACAAGGGGGAAGAAGAAGGGGAGGATCAAGGGCAGGAAGGGGTGGGAAGAATAAGGCAAGGAAGAAGGGGGAAGAAGAACGGGCGGTTCAAGGCGGGAAGCAAGGGAAGGGAGGGGGGGGGGGGGGGGGGGGGGGGGGGGGGGGGTTCCTTCTGTTTTCTTTAGCGTTTCCCCTGGCAAAGCACTTCCACGCACGAAAAGATAGCCCAAAATCGTCAGAAGAGGCAAAAAAGAGTGTCAAAAACAGCGCGGGACCAAAAACAAACAGGGGGCAGGACGCTAAAGGAGTAAAGGCCAAACGCAGAAAGTCGAAGGCGAAAAAAGACGACACGGGACACGCAAAAGCTAGAGGCAAACAAGGGTGCGAGCAAAGAAGTAAAAAGCGAGAAGCAAGAAGCCAAAGACAAAACAAGGCAAGAAGAAACCACCAGCAAAACAAGAAACAACAAATAACAAACAAAGAAAAGCGAAAAGCAAGAAGCCAAAGACCATTAAAGGCAGTAAGCTACAGGCAAGCGGCAAGAGCGGAAACCAAAAGGGCAAGAAGCAACAACAAGGCAAAGCAACATACGGACAACAAAAAGAAAAAGGAAAGCAAAAACAAAACAAAAAAAAGAAAAGGAACGCTAGGAGCCAAGCGAAATAAAGGTTCAATAGGAGCAAGACAAGAGAGAGCGGAGGCACCGGAATCCTCAACACATCAACGAAAAACAACAACTGAACGCATGAAACGCCATAGAAAGGCCACCGTTACATAACAGCCTCGCAGGTCCGGGTCGTACGAGTGTGCATGCCTGAGTTTGTTACGTCTGGGGCTTCTTGTGTGTAGCTTCGTTCTGAAGCTTGTTCCTAAACCCCCCTTAGAACCTTGATAAATATGACATATTTAATCTCCTGTCGGGGTTTGTATAAACAAAAGTATTAAAAAAAGAACATATTCATTCTCCTCTTGGACTTCATATAAACAAATATATATATATATATAACAACAACATATTTAATCTCCTCTTGGGCTTTATCTAACCAAAATATATATATATATATACACAACATAATTAATCTCATCTTGGGCTTTATATAAACAAAAATTTAAAAAATAATTCCCCAGGGGGATATAGGTTCAGGCTCAGGTTTTGAACGCTTACAGTTTTCGGGTTCAGGTGGCGCGGAACACCTGCTTGTGACACACGGCCACACCTGCCACAAAGACCCCGAATCCTTGGAACCCTAAACTAAACCCTAAACCCTAAACCCTAAACCCTAAACCCTAAACCCTAAACCCTAAACCCTAAACCTTAAACCCTAAACCCTAAACCCTAAACCATCCTAAACCCTAAGAGTGGCGCTACGCCTGTGAAACGTCTGCATGTCTCGTGGAGCTCGGGCCCCAGGCCACCATGAACGTCCAAGATTAGGGTTTGTGGAGTCCAGGCTTTCGGTGTTAGGGTTTAGGGTTTACGGTTTGGGTTTAGGGTTTGAGGTTTGGGGTTTAAGGTTTAGGGTATAGGGGGCCCACTTGTAGCTTCCAACTCTATCGCCTGCCTTGCCTCCTGAACCCAGGGCCTTCTTTCCTGCCCCCGAGAGCATGCAAGGAGGGGCGCTGGGTCATAAGTGAAGTTGTGAGGGCCCCAAGATTCCTTAAGCATGCTATAAGGCCTCTACCTATATCGTTGGTATCGTAAGGGGGGGGGCCCCTCCTTGTGGACAACGAGCCAAGGAGTCCGGCCCTCCAGACTCAGGCGTCTTCGCACCAACGGTTCTCCTGTTCGGGGGGGGGGGGGGGGGGTTCGGATGCTTGGGGATTTTGGGCTTCAGGATTTAGGGATGAAGGAGTACGGTTCAGGCTTCAGGTTTTGGAGGTTTCTGGATTTGGCCGAGCAACTCAGAACCCTAACCTGAGTCAAAGCCAGCTCTGCTGATGCTGGTGAGATACACAGCAGCCTGCTCTCACGGGGGCTCGCCCGAAATAAGAGGTGGCTTCAGGCTTTCGGAGTTTGGGAACGACTTTTTTTGAAAACTCGGGAGGGGGGGGGGGGATACCAATCTGGGCCCTACGTAAAGCCAGGATGAGCTGCTTCGGCTGCTTCCGCCGCCCGCCAGCGCAACAACATGGAGTCCCTCATCAAAGCGAAACTTTACCAAAGCCCCCCATGTGGGAATCCAATAACAAAACCTCTACGACAGAAACAAATGCTGGTGGTCGTTTCCTTGGGGCCCCCGATGCCGGCACATGACAGACACCCCGCAACTACATACACATATATATATATATATACATACATGCGTACATGTATGTACGTATGCACTTTGTTTGTACAAGGGAATTCTTGAGTTGGCTTGAAGCCTCAGACAGGGGCTGTCTAGCCCATTGGGAGGTTGCAAAGCCTGTCCGCAGGTACCGGCAGCCCATACAATGTAATGCGTCAAGTCTAAATCCTAAACCCTAAACCCTAAACCCTAAACCCTAAACCCTAAGTTCGTTTGGGTATCGGCGACTCACTCCCGCCAACACAAGTCAACATGCCAGCTTCTTACGCTGGTGCCGCTGCCACAGTGTGCTCCCTCCTCCTAAACCCATTAATTACCAGGGCACCCTAAGAAGGCCCTAAACCCCAAGTCCTAAACCCTACCTAAGTACACCCCAAACCCTAACCCTCCCTCCCCCCAACAAAAAAAACAAACCTAAACCGTAAACCGCAAGCAAAACGAATAGTAATAAAAATAAAAATGATAATAATAAGAAGAAGAAGAATAAGAAGAAGAACAAGCAGAACATTGTGATAGACTTCTTCACCTTCGGGGCATCAAACCCCCGCGCCTCTCGTACCTGTGCCTCCTCCTCTGGTGTGAAGTCGTTGACGATATTGAACCTTTCCAGCGACATCCTTACGCTCGGAACCTTTATTGGTTGGGGTTTGGGGTTTAGGGTTTAGGCTTTGGGGTTTGGGGGTTTAGGGTTCAGGGTCCTTAAGCATTCCTATACCGAGCTTCAGCTCATTCAGTTCAACGTCGCCAGGGTTGGACGAACATGCGTAGAGAGCTCTCGAGGCCCACAGTAGCAAACCCTAAACCCTGAACCGGGTTTCTGGTGCTCAAGGGGCGATATGCCAAACTTTAACCCTGACACATTGCGAAGTATTTCGGAAGCTCGCACACCCTAAACCCTCAACCCTCAACCCTAAACCCTAGGCCCTAAACCCTAATCCCCCCAAAATCTTCATGAAACTCCATCCGAGGCCCCGCCCGCTACCGGCAAGATGCCTTCCTTCCTCTTAGGCAAATGGGTGGCTGTCAAAATTATAATCCCTTTTGGGGTACCCTACATATGCATTGTAATAGGGATCTTAGGTGCCGTATTATAATAGGGATCCAAAAAGGGACCACATTTTTGACAACCACCCAAATATCTGCTGCTGCTTTGACAAAGGTTCAAGGTAAAGGCGAGGTTGTTGAAGATAACTCAACTGAGACCTCGACCACTTTGATTTGCCCAGGTAAAAACCCCGAACCCGAAACTCAAACCCCTAAAACACTAGAACCCCAAACCTTATTTAATACCCTAAACCGGAAAACAACAACCCTAAACCCCTAAACTCAAAAAACAAATAAACAGACAACCTCTAAAAACCCAAACTCAAAAAACAACCTAGGCCCCAAGCCGCGAAGATCAACCCTAAACCTTGAAACGCCCAAACTCCAAAACCCTAAAACCCTTCAAGCCCTAAAACCCGAAACAAAAAAAAACGCTAATACCCTAAACATCAAAACAACAACCCTAAGCCCTAAGCCCTACGAAGCTCAGGGCGCGGCTGCTTTCGAATCTCCTCCGTGTTCTTGCCTTTGATCATGGAGGCGACCTGTCCGTGGTGCGACTTTTGGGGATGTACCAAGAGAGCCCGATACCCCTTAGTTGAGGAAGAAACCTGACATGTTATAGGGTTTAGGGTTTAGGGCTGCGGCTTAAAGTATGTCGGGATCCTTAGTATGATGTCAGGCCTATTCCTTATTTCAGGGGTATTGGGGTCTTTGGGTACCTGAACTCCAAAGTAGTTCTTTCTGGGGTTCGCTGTGGAGCAGAACACACACACACACATGCGTAGTTCTCTAAGTAGGGTCCGCCTTTGGGCCCCCTCTAGAGAAAAGCACCCTGAAGATAAGGATCTTCCAAAAAGAACCCAACTGGGGACCCTAGGATTTAGAGAGCCCTAGAGGAGAACCGACATGACGACGACGTTCCGCCTTGGCGCACGTGAGGTCCAGAAGGCTCTTGATGTCCAGGTAGTTCGCAGCGAGGATGAGCTCGAAAAGAACCTGCTGGAAGGGTTTAGGGTTTAGGGTTTAGGGTTTAGGGTTTAGGGTTTAGGGTTTAGGGTTTAGGGTTTAGGGTTTAGGGTAATGTGTTTCAGGGAGTGGGGGGGTGAGGCGGCATGGGTTTCTCGAAGGCCGTGAAAGATTTGGGGATGCAGCTTCCTGGCACGGGAAGTATGAAGGTACAGGGGCCCCCTAAACCCTAAACCCTAAACCCTAAACCCTAAACCCTAAACCCTAAACCCTAAACCCTAAACCCTAAACCCTAAACCACCCCCCTGTAACACGCAATACTAGGATGGCCCTTTAAACCCTCTGAAAAATATTCCTAAATATGGTCCTCTTAGACACAATACGGGAAAATATAAAATATCCCAAGGGCCTACCTAGGCAACTGCAACCTGACATTCGTCTGCAATGCCATGGTGTCGTCATCAAGCTAGGCTTGCTGCAGGCCTCCTGCTCGATGTTGACATACCTCCCGAGGTGTTGGGCCGCACAAAAGCTCACGGTGCTGGCTAGGTTGCAAGTTCGTCCAGGGTATGTGTGGTTTCGGGGACCCTAAACCCTAAACCCTAAACCCTAAACCCTAAACCCTAAACTCCTAAACCCTAAAGGGAAAACTCCAACGCACCTTGGAGGTCTGTAGGTTGGTGTAGGACTTGTGTGAGGGGCTATAGAGGTGCGCTGCTCTGGGCAGCAGCTGCAGACACATTCGCGGATATGACACCCAGGTTTAGGGTTTAGGGTTTAGGATTTAGGGTTTAGGGTTTAGGGGTTAGGGTTTAGGGTGACACTGGCTTGAGTTTTGCGAAAGTAGTGAGCACAGATACGAGGCCACCTTGATTCAACACTTGCAATGTGGCTCGGCAACGACCAAAATAGCACCAACATTGCACCATCCCCAGAAAGCTTGTATGCCGCCCACCCTCCTCAGAGACTCTGAAGCGCCTAGTCCTGAAGCGCAACACGCCGCGGACTCAACAACCCTGAGCCCTGAACAGTAACAGTTGGCTTCAGGCCCAAGTCCCGTGGGCACTCGTTGTCCCACTCAGAGACACCGCATTCAACCAGGTTGGTGCCTCGTCTTTTGCAAAAGAAGGGGTGGGGTTCGCGAGGGGGGCAGGTGTGGGGGAATCCCTAAAAACAGGGTACAGGGTTTCGGTTAGGACAGGTTCCCTAACGTAGGGTTCCTTTTGGTGATGTGGGCAGTCTAGATTATGCAACTGTGCCAAGGTCCAAAACCCCTGTACGGGCTTGACAAACCTTGTGTGGTTGATGGCTTGATCAAGTATATACAATTTACCCCAGAAAGGCAAAACATATCAAGCCGTGAGGAACCCAACAAGGACTTACGTTCCAGTTTATTAATTAAAAAAAACGAGCCACCCCGCAGCATGGATCATGAAACGGTATGCACAGACTGCCAGGATAGGCAGCTGGCCCCCTACCAGGTTCCCCAACCCCACCAAGTTTCCTCACATCTTCTGGATCTAAAGAAACTAACCATTCCGACGTGGGGAGAAGGATTGCTGAGGGGCCAAGGATGGAGAGTGGGGGTGCTTTGTGGAAACAAGATGTCCCTAGGCCGCGGCCCTGCGATAGCGACTGTCGTTGCTAGGATTGGACATGGGGAGGGGGGTTGCCCGACATGGGGGGGGTACCCCGTTGCTGGAATATCTGTGTGTCATATTATATGTTACCCTCAACCCTACACCCTGAACAGCAGTGGCTGCAAGAGTGTAATGTCAGTTCTCCTGCGTGTGTCCCCACTGCCAGCGAAAGGACAAGCTGCAGCGCTGACGCGCAACAGTCCGAACAGCACAGGCAACAAGCAGCAGTCCCTTTGCGAGGGTGCCTAACCTCCCCGTATGATACTAACCATAAAACTACGTACACCAAAACGGACAACTTACTGGCTGGTTCTTAGTAGAGCATGAGGGAATGAGTACCCTAGGCAATCCCTGAAAGGGTATATGTAGGGCCCTAATTGCCTCATTCCCTACTAAGAATTAGGGGGAACCCTAAACCTAAACCCTAAACCCTAAACCCTAAACCCTATTTTAGAGGTCTCGGCAGTACAGTAAGCTCCAAGCTCTTCAAAGGCTTCTGAATCTCCTCAGGTGGGTTGTCCTTGTGGTACCTGCCCAGTTTTGGTTTAGGGTTTAGGGTTTAGGGTTTAGGGTTAAGGGTTAAGGGTTAAGGGTTTAGGGTAGGACGGCAGGGCTTTGGGGTCTTTTTAGTGCTTCAGGGTTCAGGGAATTGAGCACCCACACAGAGCTGGTACCCTGAAGTCTTCCATCGGAGCAAGGAATTGAACACACGAACGGAGCGTGAGAGAACATGAGCTGAAGAAGCTTAGGTTCTAAGGCGAGCTTCGTCAGAGCCTCCGAGATACCTTGCATTACACTCTAAGGAACCCTATGAACCTCATGAGCCCCATGATAACTTAAAACCGTAAACCGTAAACACAAAACCCTAAACCCTAAAAACCCACCACTCCACAAACCAAGTTGAACGGCATCAAAACAGGCTCTGGAGCTCGGGGGAGCTTCGGGGTTAGCTCTCTCAGAGCTCTTTTGTCTCAGAATTCAAAGCCTTCTTGGAGGTTCATGGGTACTTATAACCACAGTTATAAGTCTACTTATAACCTGCTTAGGGGACTTAGGGGGCTTATAAGTAAAGTTATAATCAGGGTTATAAGTACCATGAACCTCCAAGTTGGGATTGTCAGATTCTGAAGGCTTTAGAACCCGAGGGTTTGAGGACTTGTAGGGCTTGGCTTCGTAGGATCCAGGATTTCGGGTTTCGGGTGTCGGGTCGAAAGTGGAGGGTTTGGGGCTGAGGTTTTGGGCTTGGCTTTCTCAGAACCCCTCTTGGTACCCCAGTAACCACCTTAGAATCAGGGCCCTTTTTTTTGCTTGGCTACTTTATAAGGGAACCTTGAACCAAAAAAAGGGCAAAGGGTACCGCTGGGCTACCAAGCCTTATCACACTAAGTATTCCAAGGTTTGGGGTTCGCAAGATGGGATTCCAAGGACTTCGGGCTGCCACGGATCCGGTTCAGAACACAAGGCCTGCAGTAGTCGATCACCTGGCACGTGGAGGCTGCACCAACTGGCAGTTTAGTTTAGGGCTTCGGCCATATAAGGCTTAGGGCTTGGGGCTTGGGGCTTCGGGTTTAGGGCTTGGTGGCCCCAGGAAGGCACCGCAAACTTACTGCGTTGCTTCTGGGGTTCAAGCAAACGTTCAACTGCATTCCAGCTGAGCTACGCCTAGTTGCTGAGCGAAGCCTGTGGGCCTGCTGTTCGGGCACTCACCTGCCCACTGCCAAGCTAGAATTTCCCTCGTGCGAAAGCATATGCTCGGCTTTCTGGGATGGGGCTCAGGGGCTTAAACGGTTCTAGTCTGGTCCCCGCAACCCAGCAGCAACTCGCCCAGCACTGTTGAGATTTGGGAATTTCCCGAATACCAGGGTTCGCCCAAATTCTCCTCAAACCGCGATAATCCGTAGGGGAGGAGCCCTCCCAAAATTTTTGCCCTATCGCTTGGAAAGCCCTGTTTGGTTACACAGAGAGTCTCTTGCGCAGCCAGATACCCCCAAAAAGCATTTGGGAAGCCTCCGCGCCCCCGGTGCTGTCCTCAGCCCGACATCAGAAAGTCCAGAAACCCTCAACCCTAAACCCTAAACCTATAAGCCCTAAAATCTAAGAATAATCCAACATACCCCAGACCCATGCCCCTGAACCTATAAAAGGAGCATATAAGGAAGGATTTTACCACACTCCGTATTTTCTTTTAAGGGGTATGCCCTAGGGGTATGTTGAATATCTCTCAGACAAAACCCGAAGCTGCAGGGTAGATTCCCTGAAGCCTTTTTGGGGGGTTTAGGGCTTAGAGTTCTTAACCCTAAGCCCTAACCCCTAAACCCAAAACCCTAAACCCCGGAAGTGCCTTGCTGAGTATGGCAGTCTTCACATTGGGGAGTGGGATCTCCTCATCGGTGCCACTGTCCTCCACCATGTTCCTGGGCGAAGGGTTTAGGGTTTAGGGTTAAGGGTTTAGGGTTAAGGGTTAGGGTTTAGGATTTAGGGTTTTGGGATTAGGGGTTTAGGGTTTAGGGTTTAGGGTTTAGGGATTAGGGTTCTAGGGTTTAAGGGTCAGGGTCACTGGTCAGGGCCTGTGCCGGGATCGAGCATGGTGCTTGCAGGGTAAGCCGATAACGCCTGGACCCTGCCTATGTCACCAAGGCCCTCAGCTGCTATTGCTTTCGAGGTTAATTTCTTTTAGCAGAAAAATCTACAGAGGGGAGGGGCTCGGATAGAAGCTACTGTATCCAATTTCCGAATTCCCTACTGCTGCTGCTGCTGCTGCTGTTGCATGGCCCGTGTCGGAGAAAGGGAGCGCCTCACGTGCGCTTCCCGGCTTCAAAAAGCCTCAGCGGTCTCCAAAAGCTGCGTCACCTTGGTCTGGATGGCCTCAGCGAGGCCATTGGCTTGGTCTACATCTGACGCTCCTTGCTCCGTGAATCTACGGGCCGACTTTCCACGCCTCCAATCGTTCCAGTCTCCACAATTCTGCCTCCAGTCGTTCCAAATCTCCTTGTCGTTGCCCAGGATGAGGCGCAGAAGCATGTGTCCTGCATCATTGTCACCTCCTCGCGAAGTCACCAGCTCGTCCTGGAACACTGTCTGTCGGCCCCTGTTTTAAGACGATCGGGGCCTCCTCTACATTATGCTAAGAACTAGCAAGAGCAGGCTCCAAAGCGAAGATGGGCTACCTCAACAGAGATGCAGGTGCCCTCAATGCTACAGCCACGGTTTAGGGTTCAGGGTTTAGGGTGTAGGGTTTAGGGGTATCACCATGCATGACATCCAGTCCCCCATCCCCCGAAAAATGGGTGAACCCTAAACCCTAAACCCTCAACCCTAAACCCTAAACCTTAAACCGAGAAATGTCAGCGCCGATGCCCTAAGCCCATAAAACGCCACGCCTCAGACACAAGAGACAGGTCATGCCCGAAACTTTGAAACTTTAAGATCAAACCCTGAACTTTAAACCCTAAACCCTAAACCCTACAACCCTAAACCCTAAACCCTAAACCTTACAACCCTAAACCCTAAACCCTATAAACTCTTAGATCTCAACAAAGCGAGCGGCTTGATCAGGGTGGACATGCAGGCCACCTCCGGCTCCACCTGGGTTGAGGTGCTTAGGATTTAGCACAGGCTCTTAGTGGGGTTTAGGGTTTAGGGTTTAGGGTTTCGGGTTTAGGGTTTAGGGTTTAGGGTTTAGGGTTTAGGGTTTAGGGTTTAGGGGAATGAGGAATGAAGAATCCTATACAGGTATCCTATATAGTCCCCAAAAGGGGATATCTTTAGAACCAGGAAGCAACTACTAAACATCTCATACTCATTGGCAAAGGTTGAAGACGACATGGTATCGTAATTACTGTACATGCATTTCCGACAATGGGCACACCCCTCTCGCCCCAAAAGACTTAACCCCCCCCCGCCCACCCCCACTCCCCACCCCCCCACTCCCCAACCCCCCACTCCCCACCCCACTCCCCACCCCCCCACTCCCCACCGCCCCACTCCCCACCCCCCCACTCCCCACCCCCCGCCGCCCCCCCACACACAGACGATGTTCAGCCTACTGTCCAAACGCGCACCATGAAAGGGCTCCGAGTCAGCTGAACCTTGAATCCCTAAAACCCCAAACTGCCCCCAAAAACCTCAACCCCTGAGACCCCCAAACCCCTTAAATAGGGACTGAGGAAAGCTGGAGCCACCAGCCTCGAACACCTCGCCCTGTGAGGATTTCAGCGACAGCTTCTCTCCCTGCCACTTGAGGCTTAGGCCTTAGGGTTTAGGGTTCAGAAAAGGGTTTAGGGTTTAGGAAAACCTTTCAGTCTTAGTTTAGAAGGTTTTGGGCCTTGATAAGGAACACGCACCTTGAATGTGGAGAATGTTTACTCTGTTCTTGAAGTACAAGGGTTGGAAAACCCGTTTCCTTTGCTATGCCCTGCCAGGGTGATCGTTTGTTTTATGTTTTCTTCCTTGTCGTTTTACTGTACTTGGACTATTGTGTTGAATTAGAGTTGTGGCTGCTTATGGGGTTTCATCGATTTGTAGTACAGACCTAGTACTGGGATCGAGGTGTCCGTGATCTGGCTGGCTTTTCAATTGAGTGGCAGTACAGGCTTAGTACTGGAATCGACATTTCTGCGGGCCGGCTGGATTATCATTGATTTGTCCATGTGTGGTAAGATTCGACTTCAGAACTTGCCCGCTGAGAAGCAGCAGAAAGGAGTGCCTGTCCGTTAGCAGGCCACTACAGTCACTACAGCCTGAAAGGATTGGTAGCACGTAGCAAGGAATGCGTACATGAGTAGATGGTGAAACCTGGCTATGATGGCTGATGGCCCTTAACACCCTCGGAAAAAATGCCTAAACAGAATGCTCTGACACCCAACAAAAGGAAAATATGAATATCCCAACGGCCTACCCAGCTAAAGGCC